TCATTGGCCTTGGTTTCTGTCAATGCCAGGAAACAGTTCTTTGAAAAATAAGAAAACATAAGGCAAACAACACACACAGTGCTGCAATTTGGTTGTCCATTTATCGTTAATTATAGACACGAAACCGGATTCGATTCCGGCGATAAATACAGGCAGACATACGCAGTATATGAAACATATGGATTCTCCATCGGCCAGCAGCAACAAGTCAACAACAAAAAATATTACCCATCTGCCTGGCAGTTCGGCTTTCCAGCCTGATTGGCACTTAATTTACCATTTAATTCCTGCCAATTCCTGCTTTGTTAAATACAAATTTATTTGGCTTTTTTTGTAGAGAGTAACGCGTGTTAATTAACCCCTCGGCTAGGTATGCTAATGCAAATAAAAAACTGAAAACAGTTGCAAACGCCGCTAAAGGGATCGCTTATGGCTGCCTTTTGGGTTGAGTTACGCGCTCACGTAACGTAACGAGTGCGAATGGGCATCGTGAATGTCGATGGGACTGGCAATGTGAATGTGAATGCGAATGTGAATGCGAATGCGATGGTGATGGCGAGTGTGGTTGCAGGTGCTCGCTTGAGTGCACTCAAACACTTTTGCTGCTTGGGCGATTTCAATAACGCAGCGTTACATCGATTTAAAAGAATAAAAAAAAAGGAAGGAGGGACGGTGAGATCCTGCCGAGTTGCGCTTTCGTTGTGCCGTAACCATTTCGCCCCAGAGTTCGCCATGGTCAGATGGACAATTGATGCTCTCCACTTGGCTGGCTCTGGCTGTTTAACCCTGATGCCAGTGCATCTTCAGCACAGACAGAAAAAAAGGGATAATCGGTTCCGCATTGTTGCAGTTGGTCAAATTACATAAATATCTAGGAAGTTGCAAAAACTTAAATACTTTTTTGATGTTGATTTTCCTTAAAATGCATACCTATTGAAGACACGAACTAAAAGTGCACTTTAAATAGCAATATATCAATATCTTACAGTTCAGAAATCCTAATTTATTGTAACATTCAATAAAATGCCATCATATTTTTTGTAACTTTCAAAAAGTGCCACAAGAACGATGTGTAAAAGTCATATTTTCCCTGTGTGTGTGTGAGTGGAAAAACGAATGTGAATGTGTGCCGATAAGTGCACACAATCCATTCGGTATTCAAATTACTTTAAATCGCATTTGTCTCGGGTGTGCCGAGGTGCTCGTCCTTTCCTCCTTCCCTCTGGCACGTCCGCTCCACCGAGTTGCAGTTAAATTCAGGAGCGCTGCCAAATCAAATTTAGTAAAAGTCAGTAGAGTGTCTGAGTAAACATAGATATGTACACACACAGTTCACACACATGCGAGTGTGCAGTTGCAGATACTCTGTCACAGACAGGCGAACAGTTTGGTTTTCAATTAAATTTATGGCTGGTCAACGGCGCGGTGCTGAGAGGGGGCTGGTCATGGAGGGATTGCATAGAGGGGGTTGTATAAAGAGGGGTTAGTTGGAGGACAGACCGACTTTAAGGGCTGAAAGCTAAAAGCCAAAAGCGAGGAACGAGCCGAGTAACGGCAAAGTTCATTTCAGCGTGAAAGGACGAAAATCGATTAGATCCAAATCTTTTAATAAGTTTCATTTCCGTTTTGTGCTGCCTTTCGGTCGGGCGCTGTCTGCGGCTATGGAGGAGGAGGAGGAGGAGGAGGAGGAGGAGGAGGAGGGTGGTGCCCCCCTAGCCAAACCCCAATTCCCTGCAGGCACTCCCATTTGCATTGCTGCTGTCTATGAAGTGTCCTTGCCGCCCTCGCCGCCACAACCACCCCCTTTAACTACGTGTATTAGGGTGCGATTTGGAAATTGCGGTTCAATTGAGTTTCGGGACTTGTCGATTTGCCGGCAGTCAAGTGGTTGCAAAGCAAATTAGGCCAAACGGAATAAAGCCACAGAGTCCTGCCCCCAAACTCCTCGCACACACTAGCTCACCCAAATACCCATCCAAAAACCACCCATCCACCCACAGTTGGGCGCGATTTATGATTGACTTGTTGGTGGCCAATCTGTATATATTGTCATCGATAATTCGATAGCGATTGTGATCCCGACTTGCCACCTCACGCCTGAATATTTCATGAGTCCTGCGTCTTGGTCCCGGGTCCTGTGTTTTCCAATTAAGGCATTAACGAATCGATTCCCCCGAAAGTCTAATTGCCCCAAGGCTCATTGGCCTGTCATGTGGGTAAGCCAAGGGCCGCGAGGAGCGAAGGGGATATGCCCCCTTTCACAAGCCATTTGCCCAGCAGAAAACAAAAGGGATAATGATACGCACAGCAGGCTTCAGTGAGGATACCTGGTCAACAATGGCCAATACAAGCAACACTGTAACAGAGCAAGTAAAGGGAACATTGGTAATTACATTTTAGCTCTTAAGGTTGTCCCTGTTATAATTCTATTTGATGTATTTGGAATTCAATTAATTAAGACTTTAAGCAAACTATTATCCAAGATAGTTTTTAATATATATGTTCTGAATAATTCCTATGACTTCTATGAACCAATTTCATAAAATTTGTTTTCAGTTTTAAAGTGACACTTTTCTCTCTCTGTAGACATTTTCTCGCTGCTCCCTGGGGCTCAGCTGGGGCTTTTCGCCACGTTTGCCTTTGAACGCCTTCGCCTTTTCTTTTCTTTCCGCCGGATTAATTGACTGCGATGTGACACACACAGACACCCACATACTCACACACACACACATGTCCTGCCACGTATGCCACGTCATCAAATCATTCACACACCGGCCGAAAGTAGGCAACACTATTTTTACTTTCACCACAACTTTACGAGCACTTCAAGTTTTATGGCAGTTTTTCATTACTTTTCCACTAAAGGTAGCCGCCACCTCCTCCCGCATGAATGATGTGCCCTACTGCCGAATTCTGGTTTCGCTTTCGCTTTTTGTTGCGATTCGATTCGGTTTTCATTTCAGCAAATTAGACTTCGCACTTTTTGCCCAGACACTGCGAAAGCTTTTGCCACATTAACGACATAAGCAGTGAGTGACACGCCGGCGAAGCCAGGACACGCGAGGATAACAGTTGTCCTTTTGTTGGCTCGACTTTAATGCGACTTAAATGCGGCTCTGTGGAGTTTCCGATTTCTCCGCCTTCGGGGCGCTTTAAAGGACCCTCCCACATAGCAAACTAATTACATGTTTAGATGTCTCCAAGGACGATCGAATGGGAGGGGTGTGTGTGTCAAAGAGCAATTAAAAATAATCGATATGCAACACCGCCGGGGCTCAAAGGCAACCTCAACCCCATGGACAATTAAATTCAGAGGCAAAATAAAAACCCCTCCCCAAGTGACCGAAAACGATAACAATTTCTCACAAAGGATTAGAGCTGTCGACAACACGTCGGCACTTGGCTATTTTTGCAGCTCCCTGGTAAAGCTGGCGTTGTTGTCTCGCAAATTACATTTCCCCATGGCCACTGGTACTGCCACTGCTGCTGCTCCAAACCGCAGCGCCAACTGTTTGTTTAATTAAATTGCAAAAAGCAAGCTGAAACAGAATTGCTCCTCTATTTCCGCTTGCCAGGACCCAATTCTAGTCCCCCTCCCAGAACCACCTCCTTCACCTTCCTTTTCGGATGCCGCAAGTTATGGACGTTGAGCTGACCATCCTGCCGCAGTCATTTGTATTAATTGAATAAGAATTACGCTTTAATCCGATATAGACAATATATATAGAGACCAGGCCAAATGGCAGACATTTTGTCGGCACTTCATTTTATATCCTGCACATTTTATTTCCACGCGCAGGAGTGCTCCGTTTTTGTGTGCTTTTATATCGCATTTCCTTTGAAATTACGCCACCGCATATATGCACTGAAAGAATCTATATAAAATTTATTTAACTCAACATTTATTAAGGCTATCAAACTATAATTTTTATTGACGAAAAACTTCGTGATCTATTTTCAAATATGTAAAGACCATTGGCTTTTAAAATAAAGAAGTAGTTTAATTAAATGTTTCTATTTGCTGAAATTGCATTATAAATTATTCTCAGAAAGTTTCATATTTTTAAAGTAATATATAAATATTGTCGAATAGTTTCCAGTGTACTTAATGGCAGTCCCAGGGCAATGAGGCAACAATTGTTATTGAATCCGTCTAAATAAACAGAGGCGGAAGCCCTCTAGATTGGCATCGCCTCGTGTAAGAAGATCTCTTTTAGGTAGTAGCTTCCCGTGTATGTTTGTGTTTTTTAAGAAAAAAGCAACTCAAAGAATGGTAAATTTGTCTATAAATAGACCGGCATTTGAAATTCAAGTCTGTCGCTGGAATTTCACCTGGCAGGCAGCTCCTGCCGGCCGCCACCCTAATTAGCCTTAACGACAGCACATATTTTATATTTTATCAATCCCTAACCTAGGCCCCGAGGGCCATTTGCCTGGGAAAACTGTAAATTGTTTTCAATACTCAAAATTATTATTATATTATTAAATTATTCATGAGTGTGGGTTGCCATCTGCCCGAGGCCACTTAAAATATGAAATATGACAGAAACATGCGAGATAGAAATCAGAGTCGTTTTCGTCCTCGCAGCCAAAAGGAGGGCAAGGAAAAGTACGGCACATGACAGGATCCTTCTGGCCTCTGGCTGCGATACACGAAAGGTTAGGGGGGAAGGAGCAGATGCTTTTGAGTGGCCAAGATGTGGCAAGGAAAGAACCAGCTGCCTGGCAAGATAATCGCCTTTAAAGTTTCACGTTAAAGCTGTCACTGTTCATGGTTAAGTGACTGTCGGAGACATTTCACTTGGGTTTTCTCCATATTCACTCGCAATTGCTGCAGGCAAACTTTCAGCGTATCACAGCTGGACTTAATTCATTGAATTTCAAACTGATTTATAAGAAAAGGGATATATAAATGTGAGATTTTCTTTAATACATATATTTCTAAGATTACAAAACTATAACTAACTTAAGTTAGAGGTATTTTCTAAGAACGGCTCCAACTATCTGCTGCGCAAAGCCGTCGCTGGCAGATACTTTGTAAGTGGAGCAGCCAGACCCTGAGCCTGCTGCTGATCCTGTCCAGCACCAGCAGCGGCTACTGGTGCCGAGCTGAAGTCCAGAACAGGAGCAACGCCCTCGTCGGAGCTGCGTGAGCTTCCACCCAAAGCATCGAACTGCTGTTGGATGAGCTGCTGGGCTCGCACCGCATCCTCGGGCGTGCGGTACTTGACAAAGTGCACCTCGGGCTTGTGGTTCTGGGACTGAGCCTGCTGTTCGCTCTGGATCCTCTGGGCCAGCTGGGCCACATCCGCCTGCTTGCTAAGGACATAGATGGCGGTGCGTTGCTCACTGGCCTGCTTTGCCAGCTGGAGGGCCGCATTGGTCAGACCCTGGTTCTCCGGCGACTTGATGAACAGCACCCGGAGGTTACGCTTCAGCATGCTGGCAATGTGCTCGGTGGACTCATGGTCAGCGAACTCCTCCTCGGGGCTGAGTACGTAAAGAACTCCTTGCTGAACTCGTCCACAGCTGCAGGTGTCTGTGGCTGCGATTCCGTCTGCAGCAGTTGCTGCTGCGTCTGCTGGTGCTGGGAGGATGTGGAACTAAATCCCGTGGCCTCCGCATCAATAAGTCCAGCAAAACGATCGCCGGCAGCAGCCTGGTAATTATAGCCCAACTTGGCCGCCGAAACGGAGGCTAAGAAACAAATGAACTGGAAAGGGAAAAGAGGTTATATATCAAAAACGTTTTTAGACTTTGATCATACATTTTACTATAAAAATCTTGCACAGAGACACTATGGATTTTTTTTAAGATCATGTCTACACTTTTTATGCTCCTTTCGGGTATCATAATTCTTGTCAGAAGCTGGCAACGACGTCAAGGAGTCATTTCCGACCCTATAAATCATATATATTCTTGATCAGAATCAACAGCCAATCGATGTAGCTATGTCCGATCAAAATATAAATTTTTATAAATTTTTTGAAAATTCGAAATTTTTATAAGGGGTTACATCGTTAAAATTGTGAAAAATTGATAAAAATTTGAATATTTTAAAATTTTAAATGGAGTATGCAGATTTATTAAACTATTAAAAACTAACAGAGGAGTGATTTTTGAATTGAAATTAATGCTTTTTTTGCTTAGTTATGAGAGATTTTAAACTTCGATTTTCATATGAAAATATAGGTAAATATCGGCTAAAAGAATGGTGTTTTAATTGTAGTCAGGAGCATGTAACGCTGTCAGGAGTCATTTCCGACCCTATAAATCATATATATTCTTGATCAGCATTCAGAGCTGAATCGATTAAGCCATGTCCGGTAAAAATTAAATTTTTTCAAAATTTTGAAAATTTTATAAGGGGTTACATCATTAAAATTGTAAAAATTTGATAAAAAATTTTAGTTTCTAAAAGTTTAAATCTTGAAATGCAGATTTGTTAACCAAATAAAAGTTAGTACAGAAAAACTATCCGAATTGAAATTAATGCATTATTGGATTAGTTATGATCGATTTCCTATGGGTAAATGCACTTGTATACACACTTTGGCATCTCGGCTTCTCCTTTCTTTTTTAACACTTCATATGTATCTGAACACTTATAAAACTTTCTTAGTCACAACTCACCAGAAATCCACGCATCTTGAGCAGGATTAGGTGATGTCTAGCTGCTGAGGATCTGTTTACCACGCTTTTTGCTTGTTAACTGGCGTTTGCCTTTTGCATTTCGCCGATATTTATACAAGCTTTAACCGGCAGTTCACAGGGGAAATTGGAAATATGACAAATGATGGGCCTGCAACGGGGCAGCGTTTCTGAGCCAAGCTGGCTATCGGGATTGGGATCGCATCGGTTTCCGTTTCATCTCCGGTGCTGCAACACTCTCGATGGCAATAGGTAATAGGAGATAAATGAGCTTTTAAGCACCGTCTTGGGTTACGGCGGGTTACGGTGGGTTACGGGTTCGAGCAACCGGTTTTGGCGACATGCAACCTTAGGGCGTTGCTTGTCTTACATAAATCTGCGGAACTACTCGTGTTTTTGGGCGGGCGAACATCAAAAGCCGCTTTCTGCCACTCTGCCACTTTCTGCCACAACAGCGACTGTGCAAAATGTGCATAATTAATTAATTAGCCGACGGATTGCGATTTGCATTTTCTGCGGCAGCGCACAGTTACCAGAGCTCATCATCTACTCAATCAATATCTTCAGTCATCGCCGGAACATCATCGTTAGGAGTGTGTATATAGGTTTGCAGAGAGACAAGCTTATTGACACTAGTTGTCAGAGAAAATGTACGTACCTTTAAGAGAATTATTTCAAAATATACGTTAAATAAATTACTTAATATTCTTTTAAAATGCAATAATATTATATATTAGAGCTAAGCATTTATTTTAGCTAGTGCAATAGGATCCTCCCTGATTGTCTTCCTTAATCTTCACACATTGTCTCTGTTTACCCGGGCAATGGTTTCCTTGCTTCCAGACAACAACAGATGCCTTCAATTAGGTATAAACGGATCCTTGGAGACGCACACAGCAGACCACAAATGGAGAGCATTGCATAAACAATATTTAACAATAAATAGAAGACGGGCGGACGGATAGACATGGCACACACACAGATACAGCTCACTTCCTTGGACCAAGCATTTACTGGACCAGTTAATTGTTCTGATTGTTGTCCATAAATCTTGAGTGTGTTTATGTGTGTGTATGGGTGAGAGTGCATGTGAGAGTGTGTGGTCGATGTGGAAGAGGCGCTCTAATTGATAAGGCGGTCGGGGCAACGTATATAGCAACCAATTGAATTCATCATAAACTAGTTAGTATGAACACGGGGGAAAATTAGTTGTTATTTAAAAGAAAATATTACTTTCTCAATATAATTATTGTAAATAATCTTTCTTCCTTAAATTAAAATCTCTAGCTAGTTAAACGCTGCCCAATTATTTTGGATATTACATCAATTTCATTTAAAATTGTCTGAGTTCAAGTGCTTTTCCTCCCAGTGCACGCCATTGTGTTGCTCAGATTTATAGGCCTAAATCACCAAAACATTCTATCAGACAGACCGGCATGGCCGTTGGCCAGCAGCAACAGGCTTCTCGGCCAGGCCCGAACAATACCCATTTATGCGCATAATGAGGAGTCATACATCAGGCATGACTGCGGGGCTACAGCTGCCGACGGCTGCTCATCAGCCAGTGATGGAAATGGAGATGGAAATGGAGCAGGAGCATGAGCAGGATCCACAGCCGGAGCTGGTGCCGAAGTGACGTCCGAATGGCCAGTGGCCAGCATTTACATTTATAAATATGCATAATTTGTTAGGGGCCAAATGAAATCCTGAAAACGGCCTCAAGGGAGTCCCCAGCCAAGGTGCCCTCCTAATTTAATCATTTTGCCCATTGGCACCGGGCGAATTCATTTAATTTGTTGCCGGGAAGAACTGCTCTTCTTACTCCTGCTTCTCCCGCTTCTCCAGCTTCTTCTCCCTAACTTCCAAGGAGGCTTTTTCACCTAAGAGCCGGCAAAACCTATCAGCCTATTGACAGTGACACCAGCAAAAAGCTGCGTGTCCAAAAGTAAATAGCAAATACACTGTCCCCGGGCCAAAGGAAGGTATCAGTTCGTTGTTGGCTTGGTTCCCGGGATTCCCTCTGATTGTTGGCCGTTGTTTTGGTGATGTGCCTGTGCCCGTGCCCTGCCTCCCCACCTTGTTTACTGTTTATCTTTGCAAAGAAGATAAACAAAACTAAGGCCAAACAATGACAGTAACAATTTGGCAACGTCAAAAGTCGTTGGTGGGATGATGATAAGATTTATTTATAGGACCAATCGCAGTGATTGGCTCGGGACTTAGGCATAGAGTGGTGGTGGGTGTCTTTGTTAATTAAAATTTTGTAGGGCACGTGGGCCAGGGACTTAGGCCATAAATCATGACATCAACAGCAGTAGGCCTTCGGGGGCGGGCCAAGAACAATTACAGTCAGATAATCAGGACCATTATGTGGGGCGCCAAAAACACAAATCATGACAGCATTAAGGGTAACAGATCGGGCCGTATCTGAGTGGTCAAAGGTCAGGACAGAGGGCTGTTATTAGCCACCATTAGGGGCTGTCCAGAACTAGGAATATATCGAGTCCGAGCGGTGCTCAATTAAAGCGCAATTACCAAATATTAGTTAATGGCCAACAATTGACATTTGTGTCTGGCCCAGAGCGAATTGCTCTACCAATTTCGCATGGCGCTTGGCCCGGCTTGCGCCATGCCCCCCCAAAAAAAAGAAAGAAAACAAAAAACACAACAAACAGAGCACCAGCTCCCGGGGCATTAATATTAATGAACTGCTCACACACGCGACCCCGGGCAGTTCATTAAAGTGTCAAACACTTTGTCCCGCAGACATGTCCAAGCTCGAGTCTGAAGACCGAAGACCAAAAGAAGAAAGTGGCTCGAAAGCAAGAGCAACCAAAACCTGTTGCTATTGCCGCTTCTCCTCACTCTCTTTCTGTCTCTCTTTCCCTCTTGGAAGCTGCTGCCGACGAAGCTTTTGCTGGGGAAGACCCCGCCCAGCTGACCTGACCCAAAAAGCAGGAAGGCGGGCGGTCTGTCACGATTAATGTGTCATAAATCAAAAACTTGTTACCATGTAAAAAACATAACATATTTTTGCATATTGACCGGGCATGTAACCAAATAGCTCCCCAGTTACATTTTTTAATTTTTTTAGTGACAATCGCCCTTGGTTTTAGTCGCAACGCCTGGGCCATCCATCGATGAGCACATGATATCGCCAGTTGCGCCCGCTAATTATGATTGATGGTAAGGGTAAGGTTAAGTGAGAAACAGTTTCCAGAATTTAGGCAGTTCAACTCCAGGACATAATGTGAAAATAACTGATAACAAAGATCTATATCTTAGAGTTCAAGAAAAATAAATTCAATAATGAAGGTTTACTGTTTACTTTATTTTAAACTTTATGTTAAACTGACCAAATAGTTTGTTAGTTACTTTTCTTTAAACCACATTTCTCCAAATACCATAGTATGTTTTCATATTTTCTCGCTTGAAAATAACAGATCTTCTTCAAAAATAAACTAATTGGCAACTTTTGCTGGCAAATGATACGCGATATTTGACAGGCCAAGTTAATGGGGCTAGAAAATAATGCTTGCAATTGCTATTGTTTTTTCTTTTTCAAAGAAAAACTCCTTGGACTTGGCCTGAAACATTGTGGCCACGTTACTGTGTGGCCCTATCTCGGACGCTAAAAACAATTAGTATGACAATTTATCATATGCCCGCAGCCCAGATGATTTATGAAGGCCTAAAAACACAACACGTAGCCGACACGTTGCGTACAATATGTATACGCCGTGGTGTACCTTCTTTCGTTTGCTTGTATTTATTTGCCTTTGGGGGTGCGTCACATGTTTGCCCATTTCCTTCCTTCCTGTACCGCCGCCGTCGCCTTTGTGCTATGCAATTTCTAGTTAATAAATATTTCCGGCTTCAAACAAACGGAACAACAAATGGTTGGCAGGACACGCCCGGACCCTGGACAAGGCTGATATTGCCGGCGACTTCTAGGCGGATATCGCGCAATTAGTTGAGTCAACAATTAAAACTGTTGCCCTTTTTGCATAACGCTCCAAATTTAGCCACGGCCATTATTAGACTGGTTGGACTACTGGCCTTGGGAATCTATAAATCACTAGCAATTAAACAGATAGGAATGGTCATAGTATCGGAACATGTATTACGTCATACGAAATATATTTCTTTCCATTTCAATGACGGGACAGTAATCCGAATCCCCTTGCTCTGAACGTCCTGCAGAAAAGCACATGCTCATTCTGGCATATTAATTGGCTTTCATTAATTATATTTTGAAAGTGTGTCCGGGACGTGGCTAAAATAGTGTTCCATAATTAATTGATGTGGATATTGTTAAGGAAACGTATATAAAGAGTGGTCAATAAATTCTCAGCCAGAGTCCAATGGCACAAAGCTCAAAGGTATATCTGTCTCACTTTTCGAAAATTTGGGAGAAGCTTGAAAAGCTCGAAGAAAGTTTATTTCAAGAGTTATCCTTGACACAGGTATTCCTATGGATAGAAGTTTGCATTGGGCTTTGAAAGCTTTATTTATACACTCAACAAAATAATCACTAAAGTTTAAATTGTTTAGATACATACATATGTATATATTCAAGAAACGTGTAAGTTTGTTACTCTATTCTTTTCTGTCTCTCGGTTAAGATGAGAAAGAAGACCTCGATCTCTTAAAATTGATATTTCCAATATGACTAGGTATATGGCAATAATGACATCAAAAAAGTATCGAAAAGGAGTTTCGTCTAAGCTCGTTACGAGTTCTGATTAATCATATTAAAAATTCTCCGAAAATTATCATATTTAGTCTATTATAACAAAACACAATTATGTACCTTCCCACCGCAGTAAAAACACTTGGAATCCGTTTTTCTTAACTTTTATTTACAAAATTAAATTCTCTTTCTGTTCAATTACATGGAAATGACAAAACCGCACCAAAAGACGAAAGCATATGGAACGCCATGGGTACTCATTGAATATGCGATCAAATATCGGTGTTTGATCTCGTGTTGATCTGCACATTTCTATGGAGATCTGAGTGTTATGGGTGTAACTCTACGGTGTGCTACTCGGGTTTACTGTGTGTGTGTTCGTTCGGCTTTGTATCTACAACATCAAAGATCAACTTAACATCCACATAAGATACTCTTGCGTTTATTTTCGTGGTATATAATATATCTGTATCATACATTAATGCATATATAGTTGAATATTCGGTGTATGTATATAATGGTTATGCCACAGTTGCTGCCCGCATCTCATTTTGTGGTTTTCGATTAATAATTACACATGTATGTACTCATATATGGTTCCGTATATATGTATGTATATATATAATTTTATATTCATTCCTCGGCACATTATCGATAAACTTTAACAATGCGCTCTATCTCAGTTATTTAGACTAGGTAAAACAATCTGTATCTGTATCTGTATCTGACTCTACATGCTAGACACTAGGCTCTCTGCTCACCGTTCGAAGGTTCAGCACTTGTACTTTAACATTTGTTTATGTTTTATCTAACACTCGCTCTGCTTGTGATCCTTGTTCTCATACTGTTAATGTTCTACTATGTTCTGTTTTTGGCCCCCGAAAGAAACTGAAAGGAAAACGATGTGTAAATGCGTTTCTCGAAACAAGTGCAGAATCATGCTTGCAACCAAAGAGAAGCGACAAACTTGTTCCGCGATTTGGGATTAACATTTAATGTTCTTGCTAAGTATCCTTTAAGTTGGTATATTCGTGTATATCAATATATATATATATATATATAGTTTTATGTTATGGAAAACAAAAGACGTAGCTTTAAAATACGTGTAAATACTTTGTTTAGTTTGTATTTTATACTAGAAAGATTTAGGAGTCTAACGGCATAGGACGTTGTTTAAGATAGGGTATGTATACATATAGATATTACACATTTACATAGGGTTTTTCCTGGTTTCATTATCATCGTTTTGATTCATTTTTCCTAGTTGTTTTTTCATTTCATTTGTTTCATTTTTAGACCCCTCGTTCATGTACCTGCTATACCTGTTTCTCATTGTTTATATTTTGTGTTTTCTTTAATATTCACTACAGAGTTTGCTGGGGCAGGCTTTGGTGTTGAGTTTTGGGGTATAACCTTCCTCTTCTACCGTGGTAAATGTGCGCTTTGCAATTTCCAGAAACACTCGAAAAAGTTGGAAGTTAAGTAAATAAATGTTTAACTGCTCATGGCACCCTAGGCGCTAACACGTTAGTAAATTGAACATAAAATACAATACTACAGAATATTTAAAAGTTTATGAAGGAAAAATGCAGGCAAATCATTGGTTTAATCTCAATCAATCCTATTTCAAAATAAAACACAGCCAGCACTTTTATTTGAACCTCACACTAAACTCGTTGATAAAACGCCAAGCTGCCTAATGGACGTCGGTACGCGGATGTTTATCTGGACCTGACCCTCATCCTGACTCCTCCTCCTCCTCCTGGCATCCTTCAGTTCTTCCTTCGCCTCTTCCTCTCCCACTCTACTTCATTTTCTTGTCCTCGTGCGCCTTCTTCACAATAGCCAGCTTGGAGTGAGGCGAGGATGGGTGCAGGGTACGATAGGGTGCCTCCTTGGTGCCATGGAGGACCAGAGACCACTCCAGCAGACTGCCGTGCCGGGTTTGCGGTGAATTAAAGCGAGCCTGTGGAATATGCCATTTGTTTATATCGTTTTTAAATCAATAGCTTCTTAATAATACCTCCAATTTCCATGTGCCCTGTGGATACTCGCCCCAGGAGTGAGTTGTCATGAAGGGCCACTTGGTGAAGCCATCTCGATGGTCATCGTCATTGGCTCGTCGCGAAAGGATCATGGATCTGTAGAAAAACATATTTGTTAACTCTCAATTTCATTTAAGAAAATTAAATAGAATTTTTAAAAAGGAATAAGCCTTACAAATATAATCTTTAAACCGTTCGTTATCCAATTAAAGTATTTTAAAGGGTATTTGTATTTTTTTCCACTTACTTGGTGCCCATGGGCGATGTCAGAAAGAGTTCCAGATCTCCACGTCGCGAGGCATTCGCGGATATCACCGCCTGGACGTGCTCCAAGTAGTTGACCTCCGTGTCAGTGCCCTTGCATGCATCGGTCTTGATCTCCCAGAACAGCGATCGGCCCATGATAATGGCTCTATTCAAGAAGAATGTTAATGAAATTAGTAGAATCCAGAGAGAAGGTAATCCCGGGATTAACTCACTGGGGCTGCGTCAGCTCGCCCGCCTCGCAATGGTAGCGCGGAGGCACTGCATGCCATTGCTTGGACAGCGTGACCATGGCGCCCGCGTCCAGCACACCGAACCCGAAGAGGTGATTGAACTCCAGGCCCACGCCGTTCATTGTCCAGTGGAAGCGGTTCTTGGCATCGAACAGAGAGTTTCGCTTCGAAGTCAGCACCGTCAGATGCTGGATGTCGCGCCAAGTCAGCTGCGGACTGCAAAAAAATATGCGTGGGTTGACAATGGATTAGCATAAATTCATAAAGCGTCAAGAAAAGTATAGACGAAAAGAACATAAAAATGTATATTTTAAAACCAAACAAAAGGAAGTATTTTCTTATCATATATCATATAATTTAAGTACTTTCATTCATTACTTTTAAAGTATATCAATTTCGAAGTGAGAATTGAGTTAGCTTGGGTTTATCCTGGTTTGGGTACTTACTTGGCCTCCAAGGCCAGGGCGAAAACACCCGCTGCTTCGGGTGCCGCCGCACTTGTGCCCGAATGGGTGGTCGTGCACTTGCCGTAGAGGTCCGTGGTGGCAACGCCCGTATTGGGGTCCTTGGCACCATTGCTGAATGTGGACGCCAGCGTGGAGCTGCAGCTCTCGTCGTAGTGAGCGTTCTGGCCATCGTTGATGGCGCTGTTGATGGAAATGGTCCACATGGAGGCGGCATAGCCATCGCAGTTGCAGTCGTCCTCCTCGCCGCCGTCGCCAGAGGCCCAGACGTAGATGTTGCCGAGACCATTCCGACCCTGCGGGGGTTGGCAAAGATTAGCAGTAAATTCGGGAAAATTGAGGGAGTCCTCATACTTCATTGACGCCCTGGACTATTGCCCGCATAGTGGCATTGCGAGGTCCATCCACCGTCTTGCCGTCGTCGGTGGGACCCCAGGAGGCGCTGTAGATGTGGATCTTGTGCGGCTCGTGGCCCATGGAGTTGGCCTCGATTAGGTCCGTCATGTAGGGCTGATCCAGCATGCGGATGCCTGTGGTGAGGGCGAGGGTAAGTACATATGCATTAAATCTAATGGCGGAAATTATAAATCAATATTTATACGAGCAGCGCCGCCACAAGTCACTTTCACTCGTCGTCGCTTTATGGCAATCGTAAAAATTGCACTGCACTCGTGGCAGTTCGAAAATTTTCCCCGATTTTTCATATGATTTTCCCTCCCTGACGGACGATAAAAATGACAGATAACACGACCGGATTTGTGACCACACTTGTTGCCCCCTGACGCCTCCTCCCCGGGGATAACCGAAGGTTTCCATGGCTTATCGAGGCTCAATTTACAATGGCGGCACGCGCTCCATGAACTTTACCTTTAAGAATGGCACATACCCGACGAGTACATAGCTATAGCTTGGCGAATTGATTCACCCCGCTTTCGGCGGATTACCCTGCGTATGCGTAATGCGATTTATCAGCCCCAACAAAACTTTCGAGGTCAGGTCCTCGAAGACGTGTTGTGTGTATACGCAGCGTAGTACTCTCATCCCAGCCCAAAAAAAGCCACTTACCTGCGATTTTGCTGTCATAAGCAACGCCAACGCCGCAAATTCCATTATCTCTGGCAGCAGCCACTTCGCCGGCACACCGAGTTCCATGACTGCAAAATACAGAGTAGAAACAGGGGTTACACATTTACGGGGAATTTGCAGATAAGCAGCTTAATATACAGTCCTTTCTCTATCCTTTATGCAGTGCGTATTATAAGTTTCTAGACACCAAAAGAAGGAGAGGGAGGTAATAGGGGAACCCACGGTTTTAACACAAAATTGCACTTAAGTTCTCAGTTCACAATGCCGCTCTTAATTAGTGAAATCATACCAAATCCCGCATGATGTAATCCCTATGGCATAAACAAATCTATTTATGTGTACAATAAATACCAGGTGGCTATCAAGGACATTTCCCAAGGAACGCTGGCCAATCAATTCTCCATTTCCCTTTTACTTTCCCTTTTCCCTTACTTCTTGTATTTCACCCACTTTCACTTACCTGTTGAACCAGTCGTCGGTGTACCGGGGATACGGGAAGGGATCGTTGCTACTAAAGTCATAACTGGCCTCGGCATTCTGGAAAAAAGGAGCAGGAGAACCGGAATGAGATTCGGCTACACGTGTGGCAAAGTACGTTTCGATGTTGCTTGTGGGCCAAGTCACCCATAAAAATTATTCAATTCATACAGTAATTTCGGTTGTAACTGGGCTAGGTCCCGTGAAAGGGACCTGCTACCTGCTACCTGCTACGGTTGGTTAAATATGCATGGCAAACACTTTGACAAACAATGATGGTGGAAAGTTTTAATGACGGGAAAAGTTGAAGCTTTCAGCTTCAATTTCCTACCAACTTTTTTGTGCACATTAAGGCTTCATCAGTCTTTTGATGAGCTCTTTTGACGCAAAATCGATTGTTTGAAGTATACTGAAATATATAATTTAAATACGCAGAAACTAAAAAGACTTGATTGGAATTTGATATCCTGTAATAACAGTGATAATATAAATATTGTAATAAAATTAATTTAAGGAATATAAATATAATGATGATGGCATTTCAATATCAATTTATATATTTACATTACAAACCTAATTATATAGCAACTAGACCTCAGTATTGATTTCTCCAATTGTAGCAAATAAATTTCAGTAAACCAAAAATTAAATTAAGGCCTTTGGCAATTTCAATGGCATGATACCTGCATGAATAATTGAAAATGCTCAAACCCCCCGACGTAAATAAACTGAATGCTTGCAAATGGGCTTTTCAGACTCACATAATTAAATTTCAGATCCGGATGCATGTAGTCCACGCCTTTTGGGTGCCACCGTGCCACAAATGAAATAAAAAGTGAAAAGTTAATAAAACAGTAGATGGGATTTTTATCTGCCATTCCGGAAATACATACCATCATCCATAATGGCCGTGGTAACATTTTTACCGGTGATGCCCTGGGCCCAGGCGGCCTGCACATTGAGATCGAGACGCACCTTGCCGCCGTTCTGGCCGGTGTTCTTCAGATACCACTGCATGGGAAAATACGGGTCGGTGGGCTCCTCCTCGATCCGGTTTCCCTCGCCCGCCTTCAGGTCGAACTTCATGCCATGGATGGCGGGCACAGCTGGCCGGAGGCCGCGCTTAACCCGCTTGAAGCCAGGCTGCTGCACGGCCGTATGAACCTACAAAATTGCGGATAATATTGAATTATTGCCAGGTAAGGGGTGGAAAAGGGAGTAGTGTATTTCGAGAAATTGCTGATAATGTCGATTTTTTTATTGTTTACTTAAAATATATTAAATAGTGTAAGGAATTGAAATATTAAATACTATTAAATAAAACATTTCAAGATTGGCAATTAATTGAGAGCAATGCCAAACCAATTCTCTATGAAAGGAGTTACTTTGTGTAATAAAACAAAAAACTTTTAAATATATTAATGATTTTCCAATTAAATTAAAACAAATCGATATCCTAGAATATGCAGAAATAATTATATTTATTTTCTCATAAATAGCTTGCTAGTTTTTGTCAATGTGACAACTCTATGCCCAACCGCAAAACGGGCTTGAATCCCATCTGTCACCAAGGCCCATGTAAGTCCAATGCATGCGGGTCATTGTTATGCGTGTGTGCCACTCCGAATTTGAGAGCAGAGTCCCTTTGAGCTGGGCAAACAGCTGTGAACGGAGGGGAAACGACCTAGTTTGCATGCCAATTTCCATACTGCACGCTCTATTTGCGCTCTGCAATTTGCATTCTGATTATCGACGATGGCCTAATGGCACGTACCATGTTGCAGGCCGGTGGACAAATGGGTTGGACGCACTTCGAATCGAATTCAAATCCCATCAATGTCAACGGACCAGTGCAGTCAGAGAATCGGACTGATGTCCGGTATGAACTATTTTTGGAAGCCACCTACAGAGGAGGTAATGCTTGGACTGAACTCTGGCATTTAACAGTGGGGGAAAAGTATACCTTTGGGAATTTTAATAAAAAATATCCAATAAAGTATCGAATAAACATTAATATCTACTTGCATTCCATTACATTGGACACGTTTTCACCTTACTTTCGCCTGAGCAAACATAACAGCAAGTGTGTCAAGTGGCCTGCTGTACGCAATTCGCTAGCACGACCTTGATGGCATATTTCCTCGAATGGATGTCTCCTACTCACCGCCGGATGACTCTTGAGGGCTCGTGTGTGCGTCAGACTCCGCCTGGAGCGGGCATGGGGCAGGGTCCGGTGCTTGAAGTGATACTCGTGTCCATCGGCGCCGACCAGCTGTAAAGATTTCAGAATGCAGAGTAACATTTCATTAGACCCCGTGGCATTTTAATTGAGGAAAACACATTAATTCTGTGCTTGTTTTGCGCCTAGAAGCGTGACCCGTAATTGGTCTCTAATTGAGTTTCCCCAGTTCTGTGTTGGAGTGTGTGTGTATGTCCATAATTGTGCTCTAAATTGCCAGTCATAATCATCATCTGCAGGAGCAGATTCCCCAGCAGTAGCAGCGGCAACTCCAACATCATCATCATTAGTTGGCTTTGGTAAATTGAGGGCCAGAGCCGGGGGGCCTCGACCAAGCCAGTAATTTTCCGTTTTGGCCTGCTGCAATTTCAGTGAAAGGCATCTCGAGTTTCCCTTACGATACGTGCCAGGCCCTCGTGCCAAACCCACTTTCACTTGGCCTCCTAACAGCAAGTTGCACAGGCCTGCCCTTGGGAAATCTTCACTATTATTGGCTTACACAGGAAAAATCGGAAGTATATGTATATTTCTCCTAATTATAATTTCAACTAACTTAATTATTATAAAGGTCTAGTATATTTACTTTTATTTTATAGTTTCCTTTTAATTTTCCATGCTTTCTCTCAGTGTAGCTCTGCCGGCAACGTGTTGCTCATCTCTTGCCCCTGTCGAAGGCTCAAGTGGCAGCCGGACAGCTGCTGGGCGTCGTTTAACTTTGGCCTTTTGGGTGAACGGAACAACGTCTGGCGTCCTGCATAATTCAGGCTTACATCGTGATTAATTAGCAGCTGTGCGGCGTTGAGTGGCGCTGCCATCAATTCATAATTCGAGCAAATTCGCCTCAATAAAGGCGGCATTAATGACGCCCGGGGATGACAATAGCCATCAATTTCCGGGCAAACTGAAACCGGACTTTGGAATCTATTTTTAAACCATTATCGCTGATGCTCATTAACCGAACAGACCGCAAAATTATGCAGATGTAGCCAAAAGAAGCCTTCCCTACGTGGATAATTGCCTAAGCCAAGCGACAAAGTCTCCTGTCAGAGTTCCATCAACGTGAGCTTATGCAAAACGCAGCCCACGCAGCCCTTTTAAGGATTCTCGCGCCTGCCGCGCAGCATTAAATATGAATAAGGATATTTGGGGCCAGCAAATTGAGGCGCAAAGATGGATGGAACGTTCACATCACCGCAAGTGAAAAAAGGGTCAGCGGACAGGATGCAAGAGTAACGGAATTTTCTTTGATCAACCAATAAGGTTGAATTCTCACTAAAACGTTATAAATGTTGAATAATTTTCGATCAAAACTAAGGAGAAAAGCACGCCTTCCTGGCGCCTTACAAAGAATTTGCAGAGTTCTTTGTATTCTTTCTATTTGGGAATGTGCACACAAAAATATGAATGAATGTTCAATGAATTTCTAAACATTTTTCAGATTATATTCCCTCTAAGACTCCTCAACTCTCCTACTTATATTTACTGTTTGACGACAGCAAAGTTAATTTCTAATAAATTCAATCCGACTCCCCGCTTTGCTTTTCGATTATGTAAACAAAAATCTCAGCCCTTCAGCGTTTTTGTTCTCCGTGTATTATCTTTCATAAATATTTCGGAAATTGCGCGGAAGAAATTCGGCTTTCACTACTGGCGGCGTTTCGTCACAAATTGATAAATTCCTCGCCAGCCACGTCAGCCAACCGCCAGCCAGTCAATAGAGGGGTCCAACCAAGCGGATGGCGAGGACTAAAAGGACACCACTTGCTGGTTTACTTAGGCGCCAAGTGCCGCGCATAAGTAAGCAGACACAGGACGCGACGGCCAAGGGCCATCAATCCGTTGACTGCTGTCAATCACAGTTCTGTGACAGCCTGACAATGCCAAGAAGGGCAAGGAAATTCAGCTATTTTTATGCGCTGTTAATTTGCGTGTAAATTATCCAATGGGTACTGCAACAGCTGGCCAGCTTGGCCGGGTTCACCGCTCTAATGGACTTCCCAAGTAACAGCGAAAAAACAATGAACGGAAAAGTATGCTATAGATAACGATAGCATTGCGTATACGCACTGTGGGCGCTCTTCAACTTTCAGCACACACAAACAAATGGAGATTAACTAATCTGGCCGAGACCACATGCCGCCAAATTGCTTGCATATTTTTAGATGTACCCCCGCATAATTTGCGGATTTTTCTTCATGAAGCCAGCATATGGAGCTGGCAGCAGGGAATAAGCGAAAGTAGGAGTAAAAACAAAAAGCCAGGACCAAGTGAGGGACACGAATAATAAGAGCAGCCAAGCGGGGCGCTCTAATGTAGCAATATAGCTGCCATTGTGTCTGTCCAGGGACGTGTGTGAGTGAGTGAGTGAGTGAGCGCGTGTGTGTGTGGCCGCCATTATAAATATAATGTGTCACAATGGGTGTGATAACGGCAACCAGTACGGGCGAAAATAAAGTAAGGACAGCAGCGGCAGCAGCGCAGAAGCCGCACAGAAACAGACACTGCGTCGTGGCAAGTGGCAGCTGTTCGGCCACCTCCCCCCTTTTGTTTCAGTGTGTATGTATGTGAGTTATTTCAAGCTCAACGACGCGGCGCCCACACGCTTTTCGCTAAAAGTTGGCCAAAACCAAAGCCAAAGCCAAAGCCAAAGTTTGTGTGCTGTTCTGTGTGGCCAAAAAATGTTGTCTATAATTAGTTGACTTGCGCATTTAAAAAGCAAATTTTATTAATGAGCCAAGAGGCATGAAGCCATTGACATCTTTGCCACTTGTTGCTGGAAACTTTGGTACTTTCATAGTGTGCCAGGACACAGGCCTTGGTCAACAGCTGTTCTGTTACATCACTGGGAATAGATCTCGCCCCCGCCCTGCCCTGCCCTGCCCGGACACGTCATCTTTCATGGCACGTCAGCATCAGCGAATTTATGGTTATCCCTGAAGAGGTGAATAAAAGACCCGCAGAAAATGAAAAAAACGAAAATATCAGTAGCAGCAGCTGCGCTGTGCCTGACACTGGACAGCCTCGATAGTGGGACGTAGAATGGATATATTTATGCAGCAGATATCTTGCAGTGGCAGTGGCATTTTCAGCAAAAAATAGCACACAACAATGGACGAACCTCTGTGTGTCCTGTGCACACATTGCGGACTTAACTTTTTTTTATACGGCCGCTCTTTGTTTACCTTAATCGAATTCTTGCTAGAAAAGTTCAACAAGTTGAATAAATCGGCTTTAAATCTCTTTAGACAGGAGCTCAATGCGGTTAGTTGTATACCAACATAACATTCTTAATCTCTCAGTGATGTTGCCTGATATTTGACCTTATTTCAATGTGTTTTTGTTCATATTTTCTGGTAAGAATAGTTTTACATCCTACGCAATAAATTGTTTATGTGCATATATTAACATTATTTAGTGAAAAATTTTTGAAAGCTGGGTGGATTTTATGCATTAAATATGTTATTAAAATCATTTATCGATAAATATTAAGGTTTCGGTTTTATTATGACGTCAAATGACCCTTTTGGTCAAAGAGATAATGTTTTTAAGAAGAGAAAATAATATATATTAAGCACGATTTTTCATTTTAGGGTCCATCAAAGTAAGGATACAAATTAAAGAATATCACCTAATCAATTAATAAGACCATTTTATCCGACAAATCTAAGTTTAAAAAATTTATAGGTAAGCCAAAAAAGCATTAATTTTAATTTAAAAATCACTCAAATGTTAGATTTTAGTAGTTTAATAAATCTGCATACTCAATTTTAAATTTAAAAAAAATTTGGTTTTTTATCCATTTTTGATAATTTTAACGATGAAAAAAATTTAAAAAAATTCCGAAAAAATATTTTTTGACCGGACACGCCTTGATCAATTCAGCTCTTAATGCTGATTAAGAAAATATATGATTTTTAGGATCGGAAATGACTCCTTCACAATGTTCTAGGCTTCTGACTTTAATTATAATACTATTCTTTTAACGATATTTAACTATATTTTTATATGAGAATGTGTTCTACAAACCAAATTTAAAAATCTTATAACTAAGCCAAAAGAGCATTAATTTTAATTCGGAAATCACTCTTGTGTTAGTTTTTAGTAGTTTAATAAATCTGCATACTCAATTTAATATTTAAAAAAAGTAGGATTTTTATCAATTTTTGACAATTTTAATGATGTAACCCTTATAAAATTTTCAAAATTTTGAAAAAAAAATTAATTTTTGCCGGACGTGGCTTAATCGATTCAGCTCGTAATGCTGATCAATAATATATATGGTTTATAGGGTCGGAAATGACTCCTGACAGCGTTACAAGCTTTTGACTGGAAGTATAATACTCGAATTTTTTAATCGTTAAATCAATCAAAAGATTTATTTTTTATATAAATATATATAAAGAAACAGCACCAACTGCAGCATAAAACTCTTTGTTTGCATGAACATTAATCTTTATTCATCTCTTAAATCAGCTGAAAAGTAGGCAACAAGTCTTATGTGAGTAAAACTAACCACAAGTCAAGGAAAGGACATTACACAATCGTCGCCTTTAATTTACTGTTCGCATATTGAAGGATGCGAGGGAAAACCATTCATCAATTTGCCCGCTCAGTTAGACCCAGTTTAGTTTCAGCATTAAACGACGTCAGCAGCAGCCGTTTATCAAGGGCAGGTCACCGCTCAGTCAGTCGGTTTATCAGTAGCTGCTTTATAGTAGCTGGCCAATTTTCCTACTGGCATAAGCCGTCAATAACTACTGCCATACACACAATATAGATAGCCGCTGCGTTACAATGTGATAAATGTGTTCAAGTTTCGCCGACTGGCAGTGCAGCGGCGTTAATTAGGAAAAATGGTCTCTCCCTTCCTCCGTGGCCGCGCAATTAATCAATCAATCAATCAATAACCACTGCAGGCAGGCGCTATAGTGTTTGCATAAATTATCGCAACAAGGGAAAATCACTTGTGCAGGCTGCTGAAATGCCATTCAGGCGATAGCAATCAAATGTGGTTTTGAATGAAAAGTATTTTT